GCTGAAGACAATTAACACGGCGCCCTCCATTGGAAGTAATTAATTTTCTTAACATCCTCTCTTCGCAAATCACATCCACTCTAACAGGATAATCAAGGCTTTAGATCAGGTGATGTTTACCAAGCATTAAAACTAGGAGTTTTTATTAAAAAGAAAAGGAGATTTTCCTCAACGCTCAGCAGAATGAGTTTTGCTTTTATCCACAAGAAACAGTAGACGGCAGATTGCATGAAAGAGGATTCGACACCCAGTCAATAGGGAAGCCTGTAGTTAGAGCTCTTGTAACCACTGAAATGTTGCCACATTGCCTGTAACTTCATCATTCTGCTCTCCATATTTTACCAGGGAAGCAATTGGAGTGCCGACAACGAGGCTACTATGGCTAGCTACGATCTTAGCTTGAGCACCACGAGTTCCTCACCATGTTTCCAAGGTCACTGAAACACTGACAATGGGGACAGCTTATCAGGCGCACCACAGAAACAGAGGTGGTAACATGGAAAAGACAAAATGGACATGCATGATCAGTGGGAGGGACGCAGGATTGTTAACACGGTCAAACTTAGGGTAAATTTTTTCCAACCCACTTCCAGGTTTCCCGACATGTTCTTGGATGACCTCACACCCTAGCCACTCCTTAACGGGTTTTTAGCATATTTAAAAAGAAAATATTGAAAAAATAACATAATTAAAACAAATTGATAAAATAAGATAGTTTTTTTAAATTTCATGATTACAATACATGATTTTTATTATAACGTATGATATTCAGAATAAAAATATTAGATAATTATAAAGACTAGAAAAGAAAGAAGAAAAAACATAAATAAAAATAAATCCTAGAAACACATTAATCAATATCATCAATATTATTAAAAAGAAAATCATCAATAACCCGAGGGCGCCACCTTTTAACAAAAAGAGTTCTTTGATATTATTTTAACATGCTTGGCCTAACTTGGCCTCTCTTATCTAGTGGTCGGTCTCCTATAAGAGAGCATGTGTGATCAACACTCAAATCATTTCTCGTTTAGGTGTGAAAATTGATTGCTTCATATTTCATTCTATGTGTTGATATCGTGAGTGTAAGTTTTCAGACCAAATCATAGAACTTAAGAATGTTTTAGTATCCTTTTCTCCTGTATGGTGAGCAGCAAAATTTATGCCACGATCACAGAATTGATAGCTAGTTTTGGCTCTACTTGGAGAAGCAATGGATTAATGGTGTGCCGTGCCTCATCATTACATCATGGAAATAATTAGAGACGCAAAACCTAGTTGGATTTATACTTTACTAAGAAAAGAACAAAACTAATGACATCTTCTTTAGCTAATCTAGGACACACAGGAGTACTTTGGTGCTAGGTACCCTACATCTAGCCTACATGGATTACATGTATGAACGAAAAATCTGTCCTGTCGATAGTCTGTTCTTACCTTCTTTGAAATAATTAAGTAGATGATGACACAGCAAATCCAATGAGCACATGAGTAGCTGCTTTCTCTACACTTATTTCTATCAGTGAATTAAGAACCCCACTTGCATGATCCTAATTAGTGCAGATCTTGACAGCTTAATGAATTAGGAAGAAATTTTCCAGTCATTAATATTGATCGATGCACGAGATTAAGTAAGAAATTCTAACCTTGTTAAGAAGGTCAAAGAAGTGGGAAATGAAAATGCTCGAAACAGGAAGAGAAATTAAGATGCACTAGCTATGAGAAATTCCGTAATCTTCCAATCACTCTCGGTGTGTGTTTATACATACACACACTATATTAAATAAAAAAATATGTAATGATAAAAAAAACTATTTAATATTGGTATTAAACTCACATCAAAATATTGATATTAAAATTTTCTGATTTAATTTCTTGTATAATTTAAATTTAAAATTAAATAATATAGAAATTATATCTTGTTAACTCAACCACTTTATAGATAACTCAACCAATAATATAGAAATTATATCTAGATGGATAATCTAGATGATTAATAAAAAATATTTGAAAGTAAATTAAGAAACAAAACTTTTTTATTATTCAAAAATAAACAGTAAAAGAGGGGGGGTCACCCTGGACTCTTTCAGCATAGAATATAATATATTCACATCATAAAAGGAATTCAAATATTGTGACATAAAGACTAAAAAATACTAAGGAATAATTAGACCCAAGACTTATAATGATTTGAAAAAAGGAGTGAAAAAAAGATGGTAGAGTAAATTTAAGTGCAGCTAGATCTGCTGCACTTGTGATTGTTCCACCCTTGTTGGCATTATTTCTACTTTTGAAGAGAAATGTTTCACCTTTTATGATGGCATTTCCGTGGACAGATAGCCAGCCACTGTTTGTATATATTGAGTGCAGTACTGGACGCAGAAAATGAAAGACCAAAAAGATAGTTACAAAACTAGTGTTTAACCTAAACTGGTTCCATTCACATGTTGTTGTACTACATTGAATTATTTCCACTTCTACACAAATTTATATTATCCTTTTTATGATGTTCGGCTCTTAGATATGAAGCCATTATTTGCATGAATATGCAATAAAATAAAGATATAATTACAAAAACTAAATTTCACTTTCTCTTCTCTGTATTTTTATAAATTAAACAAAATAGAATATAAACTGTTATTAAATATATAACTATAAAAAACATTTTTATAATTATAAAATGGTAGAGAAACAAGTATTCACTGCTTCCAAACCGCCGCAAAAATGGAAGGCGCTGCTCACCAAAATGATGGGCTTAATCATCCATGTTAATACCTGCTGATACATGTAATATGTACGGATATTGTTTATTAATGGTTTCATACATGCGATAAACACATGTATCTTGCGATGATATTGTAGCTTCATGATCCAGGTCCTATGAACAGAGAGAGACCGGCTTTTTACAAAACAAATGGAAACTGAAATAAAATAAAACATGTCAGGGAAAAAGATGCAAATTAACGAGGGAAATATTGGAAGGCAAGACGTAGTGTGAAAGGAGGAATTACAACCAATTTGCAAGTCATCCTAGGAAATGCTTTCAGTGGGAAGAAGAATTATATTTACTTGCTACACCAGGTTGTAACCACTAACACCAATAATTGGGCAACAAGCACTTACCAAGACAAACGAGAAATGATAGGTACACAAGCATGGAGGCTATGAATATATATTTCATCTTTTGCACGAATGATATTGGTGAAGTAAATGGATAGGTACACAAGAAATGATAGGTACACAAGCATGGAGGCTGCTGAATTCAAATAGATGCTTATTAGGTCGTCAATAGGAGAAGTAAATGGAGCAATAACTTCAATAATAGTAGTTTGTTGGGCACAAAAAGAGATAAATTTACAAATATTAAAAGATGGGAACCATTCTAGGGATATCGTCCCAGTGCTGGGATCTAAGACTCCAACCTAAGCTAACTTTCTAGGTTGACCTTTTTGGTGTTTCCCGCATTCAAACTGTCAGCCTCAAGTTCACACTTTCTCCCCTTTCCTCTGCATTTATCCACACAGAACTACGCACCCCCCAGGCCCCTACACGCCCAGCTATGAAGACAGTATTGTAACCCAGAACACCCCAGCGAGCACACGAAGCTTGAATGGTGTCTGACCTTAAATTGGCCTCCCGTGGCAGGAAGGGGAGAAAGGGAAAGAGGTGAGGTGAAAAGAGAGCAAACAAAATCATATATAGCCCTAGGACAAGACACTTACTTTCAATGTAATTGTTGAAATACCTTACAGCCTGACCTAAGAGATAGTGATAGTCCCACCTTTTTCCTCAAATCATCATAAAAACAGGAAGGAAAAAAAACAATTTCATAGACACCATCATGTACATCTATAGTTAACATTTAGAACCCTATATAAGCATTCAATCAAGAGAAGAATCCCTAAACAAATGCATCTTGATCTGCTGTGTTCATTTTAAGGTAGAAACCTCAATATCCATGTGCACCAAGAGTGTAGTATGGTGAAGCTGGCTCAAAACAAATACTGACAAAATGATGCAAATGCAATACAAAAATTGGTTCTTCCTCGTAAAGATTCAAGGGGAAAGAACCCATAAATAAATTTTAAATTCAAATTAAGTACCACAATTTCCAACTATTTTGGTGAAGCTTACTGGAAAAAAAAAGAGCCACAGGACAGTCATATCATTGCACCAAGACACCGGAAATTTTGTAAAAAAATAAGAACATATGATTTAAGATTACAGTCGAAGGACACCAAGACCACTTAAACCAACGTTAATGTTGTGTATTTTTTTAATTTTTTTTAATCAATAATGCCCTCACAAGAACATGGTAAATTGCCGTTTGGATTTCATATGCAACAGGCTGGCCTTACTAAAGAGAGCAACCATTTTTGTTACATATGCTTTGTCTTTAAGACATTGATTTCACCAAATGTTCAAAACAACGCTGGTTCGGATCCTAGAACCCTGCACTGCCAAAAAAGTTTATCAGCAAGCACCAGCTCATGAACATCACGTGACCATGGACCCATATTTACCACTTAGCTCTAACAGGATACAACCTAGAAGGGGCCGGCCCGTCGATGCCAGGAATTCAATCCAAATCTGACAATAATGAGTCTACAACTTGGTGAATTGCTTGAGCACAAGAAAAAATAGGTTTAAGGAAAGACAGTGGATGATAGAGAATCAGATTGACGTATTGAGGAAGGAAGAAAGCATCATTGTTCGAAGTAGTGATAGCGTATCACTAAAAGGATTAGAGAGGAGGAAAGTGGAAATTGCGGTTGTGAGACTGGAAAATGGCATGCATTTAGAGAAGCTATTATTTCACTTTCTTGTGACTTCTGTCATCTCCCTTTGGAAGCCAAAAAGGAGGGAGCCTAAAAAAAAAATATTCCTGAACGCACATCTAAGACAAAGTTAATTTGGACAGTTCGTATACGGGGTCGTCACTGAATATCTGGCTCTATTTTGACCGTGCCGCCCAAACCTTCCCTTTAAATTGTCTTCTCCACCTTTCATTTCCATAAGCTCTTCTGCACCTCTCCTTTTGCTATTTCTCACAGGTACCAAAATACACAATCTCTCTCCTTCCTTCCCTTTCTCACACGGAACAAATGGGATTGCCCTCTTCTGCTTCTAGAAGACAGAACAACCTTCTATTCCTTGTATTTATTATGATCCTTTTCTTTCACTCAATACCAGATAAAATCAATCTTTGTTCCAACCAATCTTCTGTCAGCCCAAGTGTGATTCCATATAAGAGCTCCTCCAACATCTCTTCATTGGAAACACTAAAGCTAGATGGCTGCTTCAGCTTTGACAATATCGACTACGCAGCCAAGGACTTTGGCGACATGTATCATTTCCTACCATCGGCAGTTCTACATCCAAAATCAGTTTCTGATATTTCCAACACTATAAAGCATATTTTCAAAATGGGTTCCACTTCGCAGCTAACCGTTGCTGCTAGAGGCCACAGTCATTCCCTTCAAGGTCAGGCACAAGCTCATCAAGGTATAGTAATCAACATGGAATCACTTCAGGGACCGGAGATGCAAGTTCACACTGGAGAGCTGCCTTATGTGGATGCATCAGGGAGTGAGCTGTGGATTAATATCCTACATGAGACACTTAAATACGGGCTTGCACCAAAGTCTTGGACGGACTACCTTCATCTCACCGTTGGAGGCACCTTATCAAATGCCGGAATTAGTGGACAGGCATTCAAACATGGACCACAGATTAACAACATTTACCAATTGGAGGTTGTCACAGGTATATTTACACATGCCCAGACTCCGCAATGCATAAATTTTCAGACAAGGTTGGCCCAAGATCACAGTACAGGATATAGAAATAGTCACTTCAGCATGACAGGGAGAATACTCCTGTGATATTATTACTTCAATTTTTATACAAGCACAACTTTACCCCGCCACACAAGTAGCTGGAAGCTTAGATATTCTATTACATTTAGCCTAGAGAAAAAGTAGCGTGGAAAGAATGCACCCTAGAGAATAATGAAATTCACAGCCAGTCTAGCTAACTTGAAATTGTGATTGAATTATTTAAAGCTGAGAGACGCATAACTGAATCTAACATGATGCTCTGGGTGCAGGCAAGGGAGAAGTAGTTACCTGTTCAGAGAAGCAGAACGCAGATCTCTTTTATGGTGTTCTTGGAGGGCTCGGGCAGTTTGGCATAATCACTAGAGCGAGAATATCTCTTGAACCGGCACCAAAGACGGTAAAAATTGCGTTCAGCATCTCTAGGCAGTCGTATAATGTCACAAGAAATATCCACAGTGTAATTTATTGCTTTTGACAGGTGAAATGGATCAGAGCACTGTATGACGAATTCTCTAAATTTTCCAAGGACCAAGAACATTTAATATCCAAGAATTCCTTCGACTACATCGAAGGGCTTGTAATAATAAACAGAACCGGTCTTCTCAATAACTGGAGATCCTCCTTCAAACCAAAAGACCCTCTTCAAGCCAGTCAATTTATTTCGGAAGGAAAAACTCTTTACTGTCTCGAAATTGCCAAATACTTCAACCCAAACGAGTCTGATGCTATGAATCAGGTAAGACTTGCGAAGAGAACACAGCAAAACACTTCTTAGGAGCCCAACATAGATTTCACTTTATTGATGCCCTTGCTCCTAACCTTGTTTTCTCTCATGCAGGAAACTGAGAGCCTATTGTCAGATCTGAGTTACATTCCATCCACACTCTTTCTGTCAGAAGTTTCTTATGTGGAATTCCTGGACAGAGTCCATCAGTCTGAAATCAAACTCCAAGCAAAAGGTTTATGGGAGATTCCACACCCATGGCTGAATCTTCTAATCCCAAAAAACAAAATTTTTGAATTTGCTCAAGAGGTCTTTGGAAATATTCTTACAGACAGCAGCAATGGTCCCATCCTCATCTATCCGGTCAATAAGTCCAAGTACTGTCATATCTTAAAAAAGAAAAACCTATTAAATTCCCTCACGAATTTCAAACTCTATGTTATCGACCTGATTGTTCCTCCACATTGCAGGTGGGATAACCGAACATCCTTAATCACCCCAGAAGAAGATACTTTCTACCTAGTGGCGTTCTTATCCTCTGCGATGCCATCTTCCACGGGACGAGATGGCTTGTTTCACATTTTAGCTCAAAACCAAAGAATTCTAGGTTTCTGTTCCTCGACTAGTCTTGGGGCCAAGCAATATTTGCCTCATTACAGCACCCAGGAAGAATGGCAAGCTCATTTTGGTCCGAAGTGGGAAGTTTTTGTACTAAGGAAATCAACTTATGACCCAATGGCAATCCTAGCTCCTGGCCACCGAATCTTCAGAAGGAAATAGCATCCACATGATGCTGGCCTCTCGTTCAAGATAAATATCAGGAAAAGGAGGTTTTCCTTAAGGCAAATATGGACCCATAATGCCTACGACTGTAAATTACTAATATTACAAGCTATGATAGGAAGTTGGGTTTCCATGATAATAGTCAGCATAATTGAGAGCAAGAGTCAGCAGGTTAAGTAACTTTTTTTGTTAAAAACATGAAGATTTTAAGGAGGTAATTCTGTAGAGAGGGCTTCTAGTATTAAGTCAGGATGATTCTAAACATATCATGAAATTAAATTTCTTTTATTTCTTCGAGCAAGGCGAAAGCATCTGTCTCTAACACATTCATGCCAAATTATGCATACAGAAACATGAAATTGATAATTTATCCAAACCACTGAGTTACATGTTAAGCACACCACAACATGTCAGAGGCCATAAACACCAGAAAAAGACTGTCCATGGCAACTAGGTCTCAAGGATTGACAAAAGAGCTACTTCCTTTCTGTTGCTTCTGTCCAGCCAAGGCCTGGTCTGTGTATTTCTCCCTGAGGCTCTTCATAGTTTCTAGCATCAAGGATTGATGCTTCAAAGTCAGTTGAATCACTTGCAACAGGAAGAAAGCTACTTATATCATCTCTAGCTCCAAAGCCACCAGCCCTTATAACATCATCTTGTGTTATGGAAGCCTCCATGTTTGCTTCCCCAGATCTGTTCTCATCCATAGGAGAATTTGGAGAAGCAAGTTCCTGCGCTCTCCAATCAACCAAGTTAACTTTCCTGTTATCTACCGGAGTACTTGGACCAGGTCTTGGAATATCTTTCACATCATTCTTGGAACAATTGGATTCGGCTGCTTCATCCCTTGTTCTGTTTTCATCAGTATCTGGGGCAGTCAGCAACAAGATTACAAACTGACAAAGGAAGCCAGCATTTGCATGGGATACGTTTTCATAAAAAAGAAATGGAATGAGTGAAAACTGGCTTGTTTATCACAATTGAAAGATAAATTTAAATTGAGTCTCATAATAAACTCCAGTAATATATAGAAGTGAGATGTCAATATCGTAGTCTATTATTCACAAGCAAAAACTCTTGGGCATCCATATCTCAAGATTATGGTTTCTCCAGACATACAATCAAAATGAAAAAATTTAAGAGTTCAAAAACCTCAACAAATCTGAGCTTGATTATGAGCGCTTCATGTTCTCATTGTGGACAATGTTCATATGGGAAAATCATAAAATACTGATAAATAAAAGTAACATTATGCTTTTTGGTTGTTTCAGCTATGTATAGGATGTTACGTCTAACATTACTATGTAAGGAAATTATGAGATGTTACTTCTAACATTAGTTGTCTATCCATGTAAAGAAAACAATTCCCGACAAATGATTTCTATAGAAGCTGAAATGAAAGATTTGTCTCCAAGGCTGCCTAGAAAACAAATAATTTAGGGAGTACCCTTGTGCTGGTAGATACTTTCCAAAGACCCTGTTATTCAAAATCTAGATGTAGGATTTGTAATCGCATCCCACACACATATGCAGGAAAAATAAAACGAAATAAAATAAGAACAAAACTTCCAAACAACCCAAGTCATTCAATCTCTCCAAAAAAAATATGTCAGCACCTGTTTGTTAGGATTCCTCCAGGACCTATAATACCAGAATTAGATTTGACAAGTCAATTCCAAATATCCAGCATATCAGGCTTGACTCGTATAGAAGGCTATTGGCTACATTATTAAACTTAAAAACATTTCTACCATGTAAGCAACCAACCTAGCTTGTCTTCTAATTGGAAGGCTCTGTTGAACTTTTCATATCTATCTGCATTAAGTTTAAAGGCCTTCTTTAGTGGAAGAAATAGTGTTGTCCTAAGAATGATGTTACAATTCTGATTGCAGAAAGAGAAAAACATAGAGAATGATTTACTCATTCTTATGTTAAATTGCAACATACCTTAACAAAATATATTTATGGAAGTCATCATTAGGGCATCGACACATCAATATAAGTGTGACATCTATTATGATCTAGTTTGATAATTTTGGCTGAAATGGGAGCTATCACAATCCACCAAAAGATTCAGGAGGCACTATCACTTCAAAAGAAACTTTAAAATCAGCGCTGTGTGTGCATGTTCTAATATTAATTTTGTAGTAAACAACATTGTGTTCTAACAATTAATGGCACATTGTTGAATTTTCACTTCCCCAAATGTTAAGATTGCCAATTCTGCTTTCATTGTGAAGCATGCTACTGCTGGAAATGCACACATACAAAAGGTCTGCTTCTCTAACATAAACATCCTTTCACAAACATCTACCCAGTCTCATGATGACAATTGTCAAAATGAAAGGAGGGGTTTCATGTGAAAAATAGGATTATAAACGCTTCTAGACAACAATTATATAACAAGCCACCAAAAGATTCAGGAGGAAAGGGCCATAAAGAACATGCACTTTCATACTTAAAGAATCAATAACAAAGAGCAGGCTGAGCATAGCACCTCGCAGTAGTCCACTAAATTATATTATAAGTTTAATTGTTATGAGTATGAATTCGATTTCCAGTCCCTTGTTTATGCAGATCAAAATAATAAACAATTTTGCAACATGAAATACTCAAAAGACTGCCTACAGGCCCAAATTGACCTGGAATCTCCCAGGGCACGAAAAATAAATAACACACCAAACTGCAGAGCTACAGTCTAACTGAAGAAATGATACACAAGATCATACCATGGAAAGCCTCAGCCGACTTGTGATCCATGGTGTATAAAAACCTCACCCAAATGGTTCTTGTGCATATAAGATCCTCCACGATCCTCTCAAAAAATTCTATTAAAACAATAGCTACTGTAAGATTCCATGTACGATATACACAGTGGCTGATAAATAAATTTTACCACTAAACATGGAGCATAAAGAGAAACTTGACAAAATCTGAAAAAAGACAGCAATAAAAACAACTAGAGAGAAACATCCGTTCTTAGACACGAAGATACTGGTAGCTTGCATGCATTTGAAAAGTAAAATGTGTTTAAATATTTCATTGTCGTCTGAGACTGCTTTGAAGCTTGAAGAGAATGGTTTCTTGATCATGACGAACTCTAATTATGATTCCACATTCACAACACACGATTTAGCGGCCATGCTCCTAAAAGCATATCCAACCTTAATAAGACAGCATTTGTTGGAGCAAGCAAGTTGATAACAGAAATTGATGCAGAGCAAGTGAACGGAATTTCCTCCCTCCTCAAAAAAATGAAAATTTGAATAAAACCTAAAAGCAGAAAGCGCAAAGCATTGATGGATTGGCACTACACTGAAAAGGATTTAGCAGTAATTACAGGCAAATAATCATTAACAATTTTCTATCATTTCATTTACACCCTCTGAAGTTTGAGCTAATCCCACCTCCTGAATCCTTAATTTCCAGCATTAATAATTTAAAAGACTTGAATTTGAATGTTTAAAGGCTGGTCCTAATCCATTATAACAATCAAGCATCATAAAAAAAAAAAAAACCTATCACCACTATCAGCATCTACGACATTACTTGTAAGGAAAAAAAAAACAGAAAAGAAAATCAACGATGACATATCGCGAAACGGAAATTCAAGACTGAGAAAGCACAAGAAACTACAACACTCGATTTTCTTTTTGTTTATTTATTTATAATAAGGAAAAAGAGAGGGAAAGAAAGAGTGGGGATAACTATGGTTTTTCAAAGTTCTAGGGTTTAAAAAGGAGAAATGATGATGGCGTTTACCTGGTGAGGGAAGAGAAAAGAAAGGAAGAGAGGAGTCCTTTTGCTTTGCTTTACTGTGTGCGGTGCTGCGTTTGTCTTGCCACTTTTTGCGTTTTGTTTGTTTGTGCTGGAAGTTAGTGTTGTTAATAAAGTACTGTGCCTAGCTGACTTGGCATTTAGATTTGGCCCGGTTTCCATTTCGCGTCGAATTGAGATAGCGTTAACTGAATCGGACCTCGTTAATTTAATAAATTAATTCATAATTAGATTAAAATCTAATTTAATTTAAATAATTAAAACAATTTCATTTTTATTTTTTATAAAAATACCTTTAAATAATATCATTTTATATAAATTCATGGGTCTAGATTTCACGAATACATCAAGTTAAATTTTATAACAATGCTTGGAATGCAAGGATTTTTCTTTTTTAACTTCTTTTGGGTTTCAACTTGGATGTCCCTTGCATAAGACACTTGTTCAAGCGTGTCTGTTTAAGGTATTTGAAAATAAGATAATAATTATTTTTTAAAATATTTTTAATTTTAAAATAAATTAAAATAATATTTTTATTTAAAATAGTATTTTTAATATCAACATATCAAAATAATATAAATAATTTAAAAATAAATTTTGAATAAAATAAATTATAAAATTATAAAATAGCCTCTAAATCATAAATACATCATATAAATTTAGCCCGCCTGATGCATGATCCAAGCTTCTTAAACTAAGTCAAATCTCCTATCGGATATTATAACTATGCAAAGAGGCAACAGTTTAGTTCAACTAACTATACATTTTAACCCAACCTGAGAGAAAACGAAAGAGATGAAGGAGCACCTTGACCATATACTTTCATTTTAATCCATAGCCATACCCGCTACGTGATAGTTTCTCAATATTTTTAAATTTTATTTTAATCCTTGTACTTAAGATTTTTATGAATAAAACCCCAATTAGGATTTTATGTCATTTTTAAAAGAAAAAATTGACAAATATTTTTATTATTAAAGGTGATCATTTCAGGTTCGATTCAATTTTTATAAAAAAATAATAAATTAATTTTTTAAAATTCAAAACAGAACCAAAATTAGTTCAAACCGACTAGTTTTTGTTTGATTATTTTATAATAAAAAATAGGTTCCAACTGGTTTGGCTCGGTTCAAACCGTTCTGGCTCAATTTTTTTCGATTTAGCTTGGTGTGTTTAGTTTGGATTTGGTTGGGTTTTTTTATTTCAGGTTTATAAAACCGAAACCAAACCAAATAAGATATTTTTTTCAAAATTCCAATCAGTTTTTTCACAATTTAATTTTTTTAAATTTTTTATAATTTTCTCTATTTAATCTGTTTTTTTACTCACCCTGTGGACATTCATGAGTACAACAAGTGATCTACTTTGAATTCCATTCTACATAGTATTTTATTAAATTCTAAGTTAATTATTTTTATAGTTTTAATCATTTTAATATCTAATATTAAAAATAATTTTTTTAAAATAAAAAAAAAATATATATATATATTAGTTTAATATATTTTTAAATAAAAAATATTTAAAAAAACAATCATTATCAAACTCTTAAACACTGCTTTCATCTCTCTTTCTCTTCTTCACATTTTCCTTTTACCCCATTTGTCAATAATTTTTTTTCATAAAATGGGGATTTTGATTTAAGAATTAATGTGTAGTTGCCATCGATTATATTCACAAATCCAAGCACTCGTCGGGAAGCCGAACTTGCATGTTTTTATTTAGAAGAAGCAACATTCTTCTTTTGAGAAATTAAATTGAACATCTCTTGTCGAATGAGAGAGATGTATCTCTCCATTCATTGTTCTAATTTCATGCTAGCTTGAAATGGGTGTGGATGGAATGGAAAGGAAGAGAAAAAAAATTAAGACAAATAAGAAAAATCCATATAATATTTATTAAATTCAAGACAGATAAGACTATGCAATTGAATTCTTTTTTCTTTTTTATCTCTATTTCCTTGAAATTCAAGCACGGCATTGAAAATTTAAGAGCATTCCCATTGATTTGGAATATTCTTTTAATTACAATTTTTTATGTAATTTCATTTTTATTTGTTTTTTATTTTTCTTCTTTTATAATTTAATCATTCTATATTATTTTAAAAAAATTAATTTTATTGTTATCATCAATTTTTTCTATTAGTTTATCACAGTTTAATTATCTAAACCATAAATTTTACATATCTCTTTTAAATAAAGGATTTTTTTAAAAAAAGTTTTCTTTAGTATTTTTAGCATTTTTCCTTCACAATTTCTGTTTTTTTATCCTCTTGTATGTTTTTTTTTTTAAAAAATCTTTTATTTTAATATTTGATTGGTTGAAAAACAAACTTTAATTTTAAAAAAAATTATTTTTTTTGATAAAATAATTTGAATCATGAGTAGTTTAATAGGTAAACACATATTTTTTATTATTTTTATTATTTGACATTCGTTTTTTTCTTTTTTTTTTAAATGTGTTTGCATGGACTGCACATGTATTTTTTTCCTTCCAACTCGTGACACAATATAAATCATATGACTAGTTAACAAGATATATAAGGTTTCTTTCGCTACAACATCAGATATAATTTATCGTGGATTATTATAATTAAATTATTATTTATTAGATGAAAAAAAAAGTTTTATTGGTAGGAATAGTTTAATCTTTTCTAGGGGTCCATTGATTATTAAAATATTTTTTTAGATTTATGATAATATTTTTTATTTTTTTTCATAATAAAATAACAAATTTACCCTAGAACTAATAAAATACAGAACAGTTGACTAATGATTATTTAATCTCTTTGAGAACTTTAAAGAACTTTAAAATAGTAAAAATATTATTTATTCCTGAGGAAAAAAAAGTTTTTGATTAAGAGTTTATTTTCTAACACAATAAAAATACACTGTTACCCTTGAAAAATAGAAAAAAACAAGCATACGTCTAAGGGTATTTGCATAGTTTTTAAACCCGGCCCGGTGGTCGGCCCGGTCCAAGGCCCGGGTTCCAGGTTTTGACCGGGTCGGCCGGGTCAATTTTTATTTTTTTTAAAAAATTAAAACGACGTCATTTTAGTAAAAATAAATAAAAGTCAACGGGTTGCAATCAGGTTTTTGACCGGGGTTTGCTGGGTCGTCCGGGTTTCCGAGTCAACCCGCCGGGTCGCCCGGGTCACACCAGGTCATGGCTTACCTTATTTTTTCATCAACCCGGCCTGATTCCAGCCCCGGGTCGCCGAGTCCCGAGTTAACTCGCCGGGCCGGGCCGGGTTTTAAAACTATGGATATTTGTGTTATTTCACATTAGTTTTTTTTTTTTTCACATTCTGTGCCATTAAATACTCCCATGAATTTTTATCCATAGAAATGCATATAAAAAAACAGGCATATGTTTTTCAGCATTCTGTCATCTCACAGTAGTTTTTTTATTTTTATTTGTTATCAATATATTTTATTAGATGCATAAGTTTTTCAATTTATTTTTTTATAAAAAACATATTAAAATATCATGTATATCTAGATTTTCTTTCCTTTATAAAAAAATCGACAAAACACATGTCGTATGAATTGAACACCATCATTAACATCAATTATTAAAATTAGAATTAAAATTCAAACTAAACCAACAATCAATAAAAAATGAGTTACATTCATGCACACACACATATATTATGAATTATAAAAGAATTATACTATACATAAATCCAATTTAAATCATCCTCCTTGTTAATTTAAAAAATGACCTTTGAAACATCAATAAACAGTAAATAAAATAAAAGGAATAACTTTGACGCTGTACTATTCACAAGTCCAATTTAAACCATCTTCCTCGAATTTTTTTAAAATGACTAGACATTAAATAAAAAAATGAAATATTTTATTTTCTTTTGATGTGAAAGTATGACATTAAATTTAACAGGATTTTTATATTTTTTTCCTTAATTTTTATTATTTAAAAATAAATTTAAAAAAATCACACACACACACTCGTGTGAACGCAAGACTTCTAAATTCAACGAGGAACGACAAACGGTGCAATTTACAGGCCAGAAACCCCACTACCCCTCTATCGCTTGCTTCAAAACGAAGCAAAGCCTCAACACCAAACACCTCACAATCCAAACAAAACCTTGATTTCACAAAAAAACTAAAACTCCTCCTCTGTGTTACTTCCAATGTCACCCGCTGCGGCCGTCGATATCAGGTCACCCGTCACCTCCAAACATCCTTCCTCTTTCCAAAACCCTAATTCCAATCCAATCGAAAATAACCACCGCCATAGTGTAAAGGCTCCGGTTTTTGGTAGCGCAAGTGAAATCGATATGAATGAAAACGGGTCGCAAATCGGGTCGGGTCGGGCGCGGCCGAGGTTGGTGAAGGTGAGGAGGCGGTTGCATGGGAGGAACAGAGGAGCGGCTCCAGGTGAGTTGTGCGGGTCCGGGTCGGGTTTTAACCCGTTTAAATCAGTAAGTGATGATTGTTGTAGCAGTGATAGTTATTTAAATGAGGATAGTAATGTGTCCAATGTGGGTTTTGTGTTTGGTGCAAATGGAAGTGTAAAAAGTGGGAGGTTAGATTTGGATTTGAATTCTCGAGTGGAATTGGATTTTAAAGAAAAAGAATTTGGTGGAAGTGTGGGGCAATTGAGAGAAAAGGAGCCAACTTTGGATTCAAAAATGGAGGCTGGGGAGTTTTGTAACGTGGGTTTTGTGTTTGGTGCTAATGGGAATAATGACGGGGTGAAATTTGTTTCAGAGAAGAGACAATTGAATGAGTGTGGTGTGAATGCATGCGAAGCAGAGAATGAAAAGGTCAGGAATAATGGTGACAGCGAGTCTTATGATGACAGGAGTGAATTAGGATCGGGTTTGAATACCAATGAGGGAGATTCTAGTGGGAATGGTGTGAAGCTGGGTTCTGATGATGTCGGTTTTGTGTCTGATGCTCCTCATGCTGGGACTTGTACAAACATGGGGGTTTCTGGTTCAGGTTTTGTGTTTGGTCCAAGTTGTTTTGTTGGAAAGTTAAATTCGAACGAGGGACAGAGAGAATCAGGCGAAAGTTCTGGAGATTCAGCCATTGCTGATACTGGGACGATGAAGGTAAGGCATGAGGCCGACCTTTATAAAGTGAAAGGCAATGGTAAGGGTATTTTTGTGTCACCTAGCAGCAGCAAGAAAAGTTCCTTTCTCAATGAAAGTGTGGTTGCAAAGTGCCCTGTTGAGGTCAAGTCAAGTGGCGAAACTTTTTTAAATTGCAGTATTTCAATGGATCAAAATGGTAATCTGAATTCTAGTGTCAAGGATAAGTGCACGTTTGCTTCATTTGCAAATAGTAGTAATGTAGCTAGTGCTTCTAGCATGAACCCAATATTTAATCTACCAGAAGATATTAAGAAACTTAACATTAACGAGTTTAAGAACATTCATGGAACTGACGATAAGAATTCATGTACTAAAGATGATTCTTCATTTGTATTCAGAAGCAGTAAAATGGTTTCTGCCTCATCTAATGGAAGTTCTGGTGGTGATAAATTTGAATCCAGTGACAAAAACAGAAGTTGTAATACAGCTAGCACTTCTATTGGAATTTCAAGTTCGGGATTATTTACATTTCAGGCAGGACGTGCAAAAAGCTCTTTTGAGGCCCAATTATCCCAAGATCAAGTGAATGATGATACACAACTCAATGGAGCTGCTGTTCAAACTTCATTGTCATCGGGTGGTTTTGACTCCCAAGTAAATAATGTAGTTTCTGAAGCAACAACTGTGGCTGGAGTTGATAAGGAAAATAACGAAAGTAGTTCTACAAACACACTGGGTGGATTAGGAATGCCCTTCACAGACTTCAAAACTCCATGGGATCCTTCTTGTTTAAAAACAAGTCTATTTCCTGAATCAAATAAGAAACTGGAATTTACTGTAAATAGCAGATCAAAGAAGGGCAAAAAATCACAAATGAGGATACGGTTGAAGCAAGATTCCCTATGCAAGCAAGAGCAAGAGCAAGAGCAAGATCACATGCAAAATGAAAGGAGGCCCCAAGAAAATCTAAATACCCCTACCAGTTACTCACCCATGGATTTTTCCCCTTATGAGGAAACTACAGCTGAGAAATTTTCTGAAGAAACTTTTGTGACATCAAATGATTCCAACCATCAAGAAAATAATTGTGCGTCCTCTATCTTGCATTCGAACGAGATTGCTGGTCTCAGAGAGAGTGGAGGATTAGATGCTAATAAAGATGATGGGAAACCTAGAGAGAAGATGAACCCGGAGAATTCTGATTCTGGTTCTGAAAGATGTTTCATGGGTGATTACATCTCTAAAGAGTTTGTTTTTGGAGCTGAAATGCCCTGCTCTGGTTTCAACTTTGTGCAGGTCAGTAGCAGGGATGCTGGCACTGCTGAAGATACACACGGATTAAAGACAGAAAGCAGCCATCAAATGCAATTTTCCTTCACTTCAGGATCGGGAGACCTAGATGGGAGGAAATTTTCCTTTTCTGCTTCACCCTCTGAACAAATTAGTTCATCAGCACCAAAGCGTCAGTTTAGAAAGAAATATAGGAGGAAAAATCCACGTGAACCATACGTTGTTGCTCAAAACCCAAATGTAAGCAAAGTCAAATACTTTTCTGTCCAAATTTCACCACAAGCCACCACTTTTTCATATATAGCTTTTGACATTGTGCAGGGACAAGAAGATGATTTATCTACTCCTCAAAGAAAGGTGGTAAATAAATCTGAAATAAATGAATTAGCCAAGCCAAACTCAATCTCATCCAGTGACTCTGTTCAGGAAGCATGTGAGATGTGGCGAGCAAGGTAGTTTCTACATAAAATCTATCAGTGGCTAAATAGTTCGCATATTGTTTAATAATGAATGCTAATGTATATTACTTTTGAGACCGTGAATTTGATACTTATGTTGAATAGGATTTGGTTTTTACCAGGGGGAATCGCGCTTATCAAAATGGGGATATGTCTAAAGCTGAGGATTTTTACACAAGTGGGATAAATTCCATTCCTTCTAGTGAGATGTCAGGATGCTGCCTCAAGCCTCTTGTTATTTGCTATAGCAACCGTGCAGCAACACGAATGTCTCTTGGAAACATGAGGGAAGCTTTAAGAGATTGCGTAAAGGCTTCTGGTCTAGATCCCAACTTTTTGAAAGTTCAAATGAGGGCTGCTAAGTAAGTCCTTTGCATGGGCTACACTGATCTTATAATATTTTTGCGTAAAGTGCATGATGCAACAACATTCATATCTGACCTGTCATTCATATGGTTTGTTTACACAAATTTTCAAATTAAAGATTTTTCTTTTAGTGAAGTATTTGAGCGAAACAAAACTTGGTGATTTTTTTTATATGTTATATCTTCTATTGTGCTCTTTTTTTTTTTTTTGAGGGTGTACTCCTAGGGTGGGGTTATTTATGGTAAGAATTCGTTCAGAAGAAGAATGCTGTCCCAAACTTGTGAACAATATTTTCTGCACCACACCTGCGAATGACTCTCTTTGAATTTTTATTTGTCACGTGTTGACTTCATCTGAAGGACAGGAGTTGTTTGGTTGTCCTTTATATGTAGATGGTATATGGTGTCCATATGTTGATACCTGTGTGCTATATACTGAATGATGTACTATGTATTTTAAATACTCGTGGATTTTTTTTTTTGTTTCTAATCCTCATACTCTACCTGTGCACTAAGAGCGTCCCTCTTTGACCATGCACGCTGATCAAGAATAGCTACTAAATGCTCTATCAGCCTGTCTTCTTTTTATTAACCTTATCATGTTGTCCTTATTTTCTCCTTCCTGAATGATGTGGTATGTGCTTGAAAATGATGTATTGCATGCTGTAAACATGTGGGGATTTTCCCTTTCCAGTTGTTATCTTCAGCTGGGAGAAGTTGAGGATGCAATTCACTATTTTAGTAAGTGCTTGGAATCTGGAGCTGGTGTGTGTTTGGATCGAAGAACCACAATAGAAGCTGCTGATGGCTTACAGAAAGCTCAGGTATGCATTTGTTAGCTTCAGCGCTACTGATGTGACCATCTTATCAAGTAGAAATACAATCGTTTTCATTAATTGTATATCGATCTTGCTTTTGAAATACTTGTTTTGAAGAAGTTCAGATAAAAGAAGAGAGGGGACAAAGGTTGCCCTTTCCTCCTTGGAAAATTCAGTGCCCCTTTTTCCTTCTAAGCATAGTACTTTTTCAAGCAGCAACTCCTAAGTAAGCAGAATAACCAAGTTCTAAAGTTTTAATAGGATAGAAGCTAGGTTTCCTTTTCTGGCAGGTTACATATAAGGCATTATATCCTACAGGCAGGCAGTATAAATCATATCTTAATAGCCATTATCAACGTTAAATTGACCTTTAAAATCTAGAAAGATCTGTTTTGAATGCAAAATATGTATTAGGATGCAAAAGGAGGCACTTCATTTTATTGGATTTGACATTTTGGGTGAGCTATAAGAAATTGCTTATTAATGGGCTTTTCTGGTAGCTAATCATTTCTTGCTATCCATGTGTGATTTTACAAGAAATCAATCTCATGACTTATCAAGTGGTTTTCCTTGCTTCCAGAAAGTAGCAGAGTGCGCAAATCATTCTGCGAAACTTTTGGAAGAGAGAACATATGATGCAGCAGTTAATGCTCTAGATGTGATCAGTGAGGCCTTGTCAATTAGCCCCTACTCAGAAAGATTGCTGGAAATGAAAGCGGAATTTCTGTTTATGGTCTGTGCTCTTTCAGCATTTTCTTTTGCTTGTTCAAGTAACTGAATAATTCGGAATATTGAAGAATAGCAGTTGATAAATTGTAACGCATGAGTATTTCATTTGTTTGCCTCAAGGTTTCTTCTAATCAGAGACGGTTTTTGTGCCATTTTGTAGTTACAGAAGTATAAAGAGGTGATTCAGCTGTGTGAGCAGACTCTTTGTGCTGCTGAAAAAAATTTTGCTTCCGTAGGTGCGGATGGGCAGTTTGTGGATATTGGCTGTTCTGAAAGTGAAAATTGCTCATTTGCGAGGGTGTGGAGATGGCACTTGATTTCAAAGTCCAGCTTTTATCTTGGAAAGCTTGAGGTGGCTCTTGATTTACGTGAGAAATTAGAGCAAATGGGATCCATCAGTTACAAGTAAGTATATCATTTCATCAATGCAATCCAATATTAAGGCATGCATTTGAATTTGGTTATCATTTTCTCAGAATAGCTTTGAGATCCCTGATAATAATATGAATCATGCAGGAATGCAAATGCGAATAAGATATTGGAATCATCTGTTGCATTAGCTGTCACCATACGCGATCTTTTACGTCATAAGGTATGCTGCTGACTGCTCCAAGTTTACTTTCTCCCTGGGTTCTTTGAAGTGATATATGATGTGTGATGGTTTACGTAACATGAATGTCATGCTTAATGTTTTAGTTGGGTTAGAATTATAGGAATAGGGCTGCATGGTACTTGTTTCTTTTTGTTACTTGCTTTTGACAACATGGTGGCCAACTTGTCAGATGGTGAAACTTTTGATAAAAAATCAACAATCCATCTTTCATGCTAAGCTTCTATTTGTAAGTGTATAATATTGTATGGAATGTTATGATTCATCATTACAATGCCCTTGCTGTTATTTGTGTCTTAATCCGTGCCCATTTTAAGTACATGCTCATCTTTGAAAAATTTAAGGATATTGAGAAATCGCAGATTATGAACGGATATTTTTCCACGGCAGGCTTAATTTTTGGGTAGCTTTTGGTCTTGTGAATGCATGGGGTTGATTTGATTGGATTCCCTAGTTTGAAGGACTTTTAACAATGTGGATCTGGTTAGGTGATTTCACTTGTGGAGTTTTTGATTGCAAAATCTGCTGTGTTATTGTTGTTCTTCGATAATAAGTGACATCAATAGAAAAATAGGGAAGGAATGCACATTCCAATTGCTAATAATTGTATATGAAGTCAGATCAAGTGATACATGTTTGATTTTTATTTTGGTTTTTGGTTCCCTCTCAGAGTCTCATGTAGAGAGACAGTATTCTGTGGTCTTACTCAAATGGTTTTTCTTGGAATTCCTCCTACCAATCTGAGTTACATTCTTGTCAATTACAGAGTGCAGGGAATGAAGCAGTTCGATCGGGACGGTATGCAGAAGCTGTAGAGCATTATACTGCTGCTTTATCAAACAGCATTGAATCCCACCCTTTTTCAGCAATTTGTTTTGGAAACCGTGCTGCTGCACACCAAGCATTGGGGCAGATTGCTGATGCCATTGCTGATTGCAGCCTAGCTGTAGCCCTTGATGGAAATTACTCTAAGGTTTATCTAAAAAATATATGTTTGGTTACCAGCGAGTTAAAAATTTGTCATGGACCTCTAAGAATTAAATGTTTCTTTGAATGGGAAAAATAAATTTATTGTTAATAATGTAAATACATACTATGAATTGCATCCTTTTATGATCATATTTCCTTTAAATGCTTCCTGCCATTATGCTCTGTGGTAGGGAAGAAATCAGCTTTAATTTACTCAAAAGGAATGTGAGATAGATATCAAGTTTTGAAAACTGTTTTCCCAATGGTTTTCATGGCTGCTTGATACTGTTAATTGCTCAACTGCATGTATCTGTTGCAGGCAGTTTCCAGAAGAGCAGCCTTGCATGAGATGATTAGAGACTATGGACAGGCAGCTAGTGACCTTCAAAGACTTGTATCCATTCTTGAAAATCTATCTGATGAAAATGTCAGACAGTCCAGCAAACCTGCTAGATCCACCAGTAGGACAAAAGAATTAAGGCAAGCTCGTCTGCATTTGTCATTATTGGAAGAGGAGGCTAAGAAGGGAATCCAATTGGATTTATATCGTATTTTGTAAGTCATTTTAGAACTTTCAAGATATGATGCTTTCCATGGACCAAAATCATGTTTGTAATGTTTGGATGCTATTGCTCTAATTAAATCATCTGCTTGTGGTGATTCCGGAGTCATGGTGGTCTTGCTGCGAGATTTGTTTGTATTATAATCATTATTTTCCTTGTCATGGTTTTTGAAGCTGAATCTTTTCTGAGCATGACTTTTAATTCTATCTTGGCATTTGCATGCTTCTCCTTTAGAAGATGTTAATGTATCTATTGACAATTTGCAATTTGGTAAAGCTCTTTCATTAAGAATGTGAACTACCTTTTTCTTCTTCTTTTTTTTGGAATTGTAAACCTCAAACCTTCTCAGTCACACATCATCCTTGACAGAAAAAAAAAATTCTGCTTTTTTTCTACTAGTATTTTATCTGTTACTGTTTCCACATCCCTGGGCTTTGGAACGTGGAATGTTTTTTTCTGAAGCACTTGAGGCTATTTTCTGGCCATACTTTGTAACTGTTGCATATTATACATTTATAAGTTGTTGACAACAAAGAATTTCTTTGCCAGGGGAGTCAAGGATTCTGACACAGCAGCTGATATAAAAAAGGCATACCGAAAAGCAGCTCTTAAACATCACCCAGACAAGGTTTTTAACTTTCCACACCTGCATATATGACCGCTGGACCTGTTTCTAATCTTACAGGTTCCTCTTGTATTTTCTTTTTTCTTTCTTTTCCCCCTTTTCCTGTAGGCTGGTCAGTTCCTGGCAAAAAGTGAAAGTGGTCATGACAGGCAGCTCTGGAAGGAAATTGTTCAGGAGGTTCACGCAGATGCTGACAGGCTATTTAAGATGATTGGAGAAGCATATGCAGTACTCTCAGACCCCTCAAAGGTTTGTTATTCATTTGATTTCAACTTGACATGGCTAATGTGTGGCTATATTCTAGACTTGGAGCTGTGTTCTTTTTTTCAATTACCTGTATTGTAATCATTTCCCATCTATTTAATTGCCTTTGCCAGTCTTTTACATCTCTAATCGACCAAGTCTGTGTGGCTGCTATAGTCCGTCATCTTGATTACTAGGAATGAAGACATCCTTTTTTTTTTTTTTGAACTTTTGTTTAGCAGCAGTTAATTGAAAATGGAAATTAATATTGTATAATTTGCATGTATGACGTGCGCTGTATACTTGGTTGATGTAAAAAACTGAAAAAATTGTTGTCAATATCACAATCAACACAGTAGCAACCACTATTCATTGTTACCAATGCTAGTAACATTATTACCACTACTTCTACTATATATAGCCGCCGCCGCCGCCACCACCACTTCTACTACATATAGCCACCATCCAACACCATTACTGCTATCACCACCATGGTCTCACTATCATAACCATTATGACATGATCAATGCTACCATCAACTATAACATGGCCGTGACTGTTGCTGCAATACTATCACAGTAATAACCATCTCCATTGATGCCACCACACCTGCCATCCACCATTGATTCCCAAATATTACCACCATCGATAAAAAATAAAATATATATATAAACCACTTCTAACACTGAATCATTGCCATCATCAACACTATAACAATTCTCAGAAGGAAAAAGAATGGGTTGCTTTGTCATTAGACTCATTTGCTCCAGACATACCTGTTTTTTAATATCAGCCTGTTGCCCAGTCATATAGTTTCAAGATTTAGATTGTTGTTTGAACATTTTGTTATCCATTCCAGTCCCTTGATTTCATTCATGGTAATCAAACAGGGTTGGAAACTTTCCAGTTCTGTTATTTTCATTTCTAAGTTTTAACAGTTTCTTTGTTTTTCCTTTCCACTATTTATGGCCCTGTGAACTAGAAGCGAGTATGTTAAATGCTGTTTCATAGTCTGTTTATTCGTCTGCTTTATCAGTACCCTGTATTACGTTGTATACTACAATGGCAGATGTTTAATCTTGCTGCCTGACCTCTGATATAAATTACTTTTGATATGCGTGCATTCTTTATCCCAAATTTTGGATAGACATGACTTGGAGATCACAGGATGGTGTTATCATATACCTGTTCTTTGCAGCCTGCTTGTTAGTGAAGGTTGTTAAACACTAGAATCTCTAGGACCGAAAATCGTTTTCTCTGTTTGTCCTTCTGACTAGTGAACTGACTTTTGTGTCTAAGGTCAAATTCTACTCAATAACTATCAACCTAAAATAAGGACTAGAGCATTGTTGAATGAGGTTTGAGATTTATCTAGAAATTCTAGTTGGAGTCTCACTCAAAAACACTCTTATTCTGTTTACATTATTTTGACTAGTAACTATTGCCTCATTTTGCTGTGTTGCTTTTTAATTGACAGCGGTCAGAATATGATCTTGACGAGGAAATTAGAAAAGCATCAAAGGAAAACAATGGAAGCAGTCATAGAAGAACATACACGCGCAGCAACTCAAATGAGAGAAATGACTACCGTCGACATTGGCAGGATAATTGGAAGACTAATGGTTATTAACGTTCGTAATGGTAGGAAAAATATGCTGTCTCAGGATCAAAAGCAAACTGTGTTTTTCCGATCAAGGTCAGGTCAGCTTTTAAGGGATGAAGTTCAGAGGATGGATCATCAGGACTGGCTAGCCATTGGTCTGGTTAGCAGCCTGATAATGGATCCAAACTAACCATGGCATTGATCTAAGATAGATAGTTGTCAGTAAATTTGGCAGATTTCTATCAAAGAAATCTACATTTCTTATTCAGGCTAAAAGGGAAGGTTTTGTTGAAGGATACTGGACCTTTTAGGGCATTGTTTGCAAGCATACTTAAAACTCGGCTCTCCGGGTGTGCCTAAAAGCCAAAAGCAACTCTGGATAGAAAAACTTTGGGGTTTATTTATTCAAACCCCCATAGAGAAAACAGAGAAGAATCACTTCTAGCTGTTTGTTGTTTACAAAAACCACAGGTGCATTATCAAAATAAGACGCATGTTGCTTCATTGTTGTTAACTCCTGGCCTCTTGGTTGCCTGGTGGTTGTGGTATAAGGTTTTTCACCACATAAAATCTTGTACATTATATATTAAAAGAAAGAAAAATACAAATGGATGTAAAAACTTTGAGTGTTACTTATTTTATGCTTATGGAATAAGAAGAAAAGGGATGCAGATGTTATGCTGGCAACTGTTTATCTGAATGCATGCAGAAAGCTTTTCTGTTGTGTCATTGATTGAGACAATCTTGTTTGACATCCTGTGAATTGCGGGACTAAGCTTCTTGAACCCAAAGACTTGGTGGCAATTCTGTTAGCATTTCGTTGACTTGGCTATAGGGTGTTTTTCATAAGCAAAGCAAAATCAATTCTCTTACTTTCAGGGTGATTGGGTTAAAAAAATCACTAATAATTCCTTGCAAACTTGACTTTTGTGTAGATGGAGATGGCAGTTCGGCCTTACCGACGGGTGTACACCTCCGATGCCTGCCTGCCTGCCTGCCTCGTCCCTGACTAGCTAGTTAAATATAAAAAATATTAGAAGAAAAAAGAGAAAAACAGACCTAGGAGGGATAGCCCAGACCGACGAGTTAGACAAATATCTGACCTAACCATTGCATCCCCTAAAACCATCCTAGATTCTAATCCATAGGAGCAAGTTCTATTGAGTTTACAAGCAGTGAGGGTTAGGTTAGGGCAATATCGAGCCAGATTATTCCAAAACCAAGAATATATCCGTTTCTTTTCACCAGCATCATCACTCTGAACTTGTGGCTTAAATTTACACATAATAAATCAGCAAGCAGTACCAACAAAACCCATTGAGATTACCATGCATCAAGGGTTTCTTCGGGTCATTGTTAATACAGATCGTTCACGCCTGCATTTCCCCAACCAGTTCTAAGGGCTGTCAGCTTCAGTTTCAAAAATAAAACTGCGCAGGTTTCTTGACCAGACACTAATTCATCCAGGTACTCTGGATTCTAAGATGATACAGAAGGTAAATTAGTTCTCTGGCTTTGCCCTATGATGAGGGTCGTATCGATTTTTTTAAAATGTAAAAAAAAAAAAATGTCCCAGTGGCAGATAACTCTTTGGCATTCTCATTAAATTTATTTTATTTCAAGTTTTAAATTAAATTATAAAAATATTATCTTATTTAGTTGTTTTCGTACAATCAGGGATAAAAAAAAATCGATGCATTAAGATCTAAAATAATTAATAAAATTATAGCTTAAATTTTTTTAAAATATATATTAATATAATTTTATTAGAATATAAAAATAATAACATATTAAATTTACCTGAATTAACCTAAATTAATTTATAAAACTTGTAAATCAAGTTATGAATTTTATTAAATTCAATAATATTTTTTTTATTAATTATAAAATAATAATAAAGATCAATTCTAAACCAATCAAATTAAAAAATTTAATTAAAAAAAAAAAGACTAGGGGAGGCATACGAGCCTAGTTGACTCAGCTCACCAAGGCCATAAAAGCCCAAACTCTTGGGCATAAGTCTGGCCAGTGCACCCGAGGCCATATTTTTCTTGTTTATTAGGTCTCTTGCGTGTTATTTACTGTTGTAAAGAATACATTATCTGCTGAGTTACAGACCTACACTTCAGCAACTACTGTGATGGTCGAAAAATAAAAAAGAAAATTTAATTTTCAACTCTTTATTTTAAACAACCCCAAATCATCATATTTTTTAAAAAAATCATCTAATACCTCAAAATCATTCAAATTATAAAATTAACTAAGTTAAAAATCTCTTAATCAAGTGAAAAAATTATTATTATAAAATTTTTCTTCTCAAATAAAACTTATTAATATCAAAACTAATAAGTTTTTTCGATGAAAAATAACTTAACCATTATTTTATTTTTTTTTATAATTTTCAAGCAACATTTTTTTTCTTTCTTAAAATCAAAAACTAAAAAATAAATAAAATAAAATTTTGAATCAAAAGGTAATTACATTTAGCCATCTTTGTTTTAATTAAAACCCTAAATGGAACAAAATCACAAGAGCAAGAATTCTCTCCTCCTAGAAACATAATCATGACACAAAGTAAATTGAATTTAATAACAAACTTCTTCCTTTATTTTTCCACCACTATTTTCAAAATCCACCATACAATCCAAGGAATGATCTACAATTAGTGTACCGTAGCATACAACGAAAAAGGTCATGCGTGTTCCGGGCTGTTTTGGTATATATAACATGTAAAACAAAAGAAAAAAAGAAAGAATAAAAACAAAAACAAAAAACAATTTTTTTTCCCCACATTTGTTTTTCATTTTTTCCCTTGTTTCCAGGTTTTACATGTATTTTTTTTTCCTCCAAGATTGTATTCTTCTTCTTCTTTTTTATTTTTTTATATTTTTTTAAAAATTATCTTTGTTGATTGTTTTTTAATATTAAATTAATTGAAATTTTAGTTTTGTAATTTTTTTTTAAAATATTATGGATTGCTACAATGTTTTTCTACATGATTTTTTTATGAATGTGTTTTTTAAAAAATGATGTTTATCAATTTTTTTTATATATTGAGCTGGTTGAGAATTTTATTTTATAAATTTTTTTCTTTAAAATAATGTGAATTGCTATAATGTTTCATTACAAGGTTTTTGTTTTGATATAGTGTTTCCCCACATGATTTTTTTCATGAGTTTTATGGTTTTTTTCTAGAATTTTTTGTTAATTTTTTTTTATTAGGTTGGTTGAGAATTTAGTTTCGTAGTTTTTTTTCTTTAAAACACTGTGGATTACTTTAGTATTCCCCCACATGATTTTTTTTGTTATGATTTTTTTAAAATTATCTTTATTGATTTTATTATTTTTAATATTGAACTAATTAAAAATTACAACATGAAGCACTATAAATTACCATAATGTTTTCATGTATGGTTTTTTTTTTGTTATAATTTTTTTAAATTATCTTTGTTGATTTTATTTTTTTAATATTAAATTAATTAAAATGTTTGCTTTTTTTTCCAAAAAATATTATGAATTAATATTTTTTTTATATATAATTTCTTTTAATTTTTTCTATAAATCTATGAAAACACATAAACATGTCATTGCAGTACCGCGCGGACATGACATGTGTATATTTATTTGGGGGTGGTTGTGTGGTTTGTGAGAGAGGGGCTGTGTGGTGATTTTCTTGTGGTTGTAGGTCTGTGTTTTTGAAGGTAAAAAGAGGCTTGATAAACATCTCATTGTGATTTCGAAATCTTCAATGAGAGAATCAACGGACTCTTACTGGCTGTGACTTTAGGCCCTGCAGCGTCCCCATCACAGGCAGCAGCTAGTATCTCAATGGCTGACACAGCTGCTATGGTCACTAAATTCCCTCAATGTAATTAAATAATTTGTAATTTTACAAGCATACCTTTAAATAATTCGAAATTTCTTGTTCAAATCTTTTTACGTTAAAAATAGAGGATGAAAAATGTTGCAAAGTCATTAAAATTTAAGACATAAAATATAATTTTTTCGAACATCAACCGAGATGTAATTATTCCAAATAAAAATTGTTGATAACGCGCAGTTGGATATTTTTTCTCCATGTTTTACATTTTAGTCCTCAATTTGATACAAGCCTAATATATAATTATATCTAATTTGGCCCATAGAAGGATTCAATTGAAAAACAGAAAAGTTCAAAAATGAGATAAAAAAAAGGGGCGTCGGCTTCATTACAACCCCATGGCTGCTGAAAATAAGATGCATTGATATTTCATGGAAGTGAAAAAGCAAAACATAAACCCTCATTTCGAAATTAATAGATGTTCTCTAGATTTGCTCTAATTCTAGAACTTGTGGGAATGGTTGGTTAATCAGTACAATTTCTCAAATCTGACCGCCATGGCTGACGAGAAACAAAAATTCAGATGCCGAAAACCGTACAAATAAATCCTCCTCTTCTTCACAGAGAAACTTTATCGAGCAGACTGTGCCTGTGCATGCTCTAGAATCTGACTGACTAACTTGGAAGTACGGCCTGATAGTGCTTTGGTGTGATCTATCAACTGCTCATACCTGCGATAAAGATACAAGAAATTCGATAAAGATTTGTGACCAGATTCTTGAAGAGAAGTAGACACCTCTGAGAGCTGACATATACAAGTTATCTGGAATACATAGAAATAAAAGACAAGAAGACTAGCTGGTAACAAGAATCATTATCATTTACAGAAATAACAATCAATCTTACACGTTGGGATGGTTGGGCTCCATGACAACAGTTCCTGACTGTGAATCAATCTTAGCATCAAGCTTTGAGTTACGGATGAGATTCACAATCCATCTCTCAGCCTCCTCATAATTCAAGTTCAATTTCTCTGCAAGGACTCTGCCACGAACAGCAAAGTAGTTTGAATTAGTATCTTAACAGAAGCAAGAAAATGCACATCACAAGCTTGTTTAGCACACAGCTCACTGGAAATATTGGCAGTTCAGCTCTGGACTCTGTGACCCATTTCACAAATATGATTAAATAGAAGCACAACCCTTGTGCATTTAGTGGGGGACGATAATTAACTTCTCATGAAAGCAAAGAGCTTCCATGACAACATAATTCTGTATTGCTGCAATAGAAAAAAAAATATACAAGGAGAGAAAGCACTTCTAGCAAAAAACAATTACTAGCAGCCTTGTTCATACACCACTTGAAATGGCAGTAATCAATCAAAAAAATTCAGACTGTTAAGTCTCTGGACCAATACCATTGAAGCCTCAGGATCAGTTCATCAATTTTGTATTATAAGAGTTTGGATCAAAATCATCAAACCCACAGGTACTATACTCTTTGATTGTACAGATAATAGATGTTCCATGTGGCAAATAAGTCTCAACAGACATGTGAGCAACACAATTGAAAAATAAAAGAATGGGTATTCAATGAGATCAAACTGACATTTTACACAATCCACTCAAAAGGATGGTTTTTCCAAGGACAGAATTTCCATTTATTCCAGTTCTGAAGTTTTAGAAAACAATTCAAGGGAGGAGGTACATACTCCATGTCAATGCGCTGATGTATCCGGCAATAGGTTTCAAAGACAAATAGACGGGCATTTTCAAGGAACTCATCTCTCAACGGCACAGTAGAAAAGTTGCTATCTTCTAGATGTTTGCCAAGGAAAGGATCATTTAGTATCACCTACAATGAGCGT